AACTTTTATAATACATGCTATAAATCACAGCACAACTTCTCTCTCTACAAGTACAAACGCACACTTTATATTACCGTCACTACTATTCGCGGCTTTGATTATCTGTCTTCCTCGTTGGCTTCTCTGCCAGGTATATACTAACAAAGAAGCTTCGCCAAAGTTCGAGGAGTTCCCTGATAATTCGAAAAACTCGATCTTGCATGTGCTAGCAGCATCACGTGACTTCTGCTGTCGTAACGGTAATTATCATGCCATTACAATTATTGTACTTTATAGAGGAGACTATAAATGTAACTAATTCTTGGCTGCTGTTAGAGTTGGCATTAAGAACTGTTTTTGAAACTATATACTGTTGTGAACTATCATTTAAGAAGAGTTCCCTGATAATTCGAAAAACTCGGTCGTGCATGTGCTAGCAGCATCACGTGACTTCTGCTTTTGTAACAGTAATTATCATGCCATTACAATTATTGTACTTTATAGAGGAGACTATAAATGTAACTAATTCTTGGCTGCTGTTAGAGTTGACATTAAGAACTGTTTTTGAAACTATATACTGTTGTGAACCATCATTTAAGAAAACGTATAATGTTGAAAATATATGTTTGCAAAACCTTATGTTCCAGTTTTCATCAGCTGTGTGGGGGATAGTAAAATTATCAGTATTAATTGTTTTGATATTTGTGTGGGGGATAGTAAAATTATCAGTATTAATTGTTTTGATATTTGTGTGGGGGATAGTAAAATTATCAGTATTAATTGTTTTGATATTTTTTGTCCATCCCATTAGTATTGTGAAAGGGGATATTCACGTAGACCTACTGGAAGATTCCTTGGAGTTTGTGTTCCTGAGACTGTGCCATGTAACTGTCACGGTCATTCCAGTCTCTGTGACTCTGTGACTGGAGAGTGTCTTGTAAGGCTAATTTTTATATCAAATACATATGAAAGTGTTTTCACTGTAATTTATTTCTAAGAAACTGGGAATTATATAAAAATGTTTCTATGTAGGAATTATCTGTATGTTTATATCTATTTCTAAGAAAGTGTACATCATATAAAGATGTTTCTGTGTAGGAATTATTTGTATGTTTATATCTATTTCTAAGAAAGTGTACATCATATAAAGATGTTTCTGTGTAGGAATTATTTGTATGTTTATATCTATTTCTAAGAAAGTGTACATCATATAAAGATGTTTCTATGTAGGAATTATCTGTATGTTTATATCTATTTCTAAGAAACTGGGAATTATATAAAGATGTTTCTATGTAGGAATTATTTGTATGTTTATATCTATTTCTAAGAAAGTGTACATCATATAAAGATGTAGGAATTATCTGTATGTTTATATCTATTTCTAAGAAAGTGTACATCATATAAAGATGTTTCTATGTAGGAATTATCTGTATGTTTATATCTATTTCTAAGAAAGTGTACATCATATAAAGATGTTTCTGTATTGAAATTTTCCATATTTGTATATATATATTTCTATGAAAGTTACATCATTTAAAGATGTTTCTGCTTAGAAGTTATCCATATGTTTATATATGAAACATTTTGTGAATCTACAAAAGCTTCCAGAAAAGATTGGATCTAGAATATTTCAAATACTATTTCAGCCAATGGTGTAAATTCAGTTTCTGTTTGGTGTACTGTTTTTCACTATAAAAGTTGACTGTTAATTTATTATTGTAGTACTTTAATGTTAACTTAATGCTTAATTATATGTCAAGTTGATAATATGGAACTATTAAAGGCATGTCTTCTGTCATGTGGAATGTAGTTTAAGTAAAAGAAAAACAACTAAGGGATGTTTGTATGTAGAACTAGACTGTAATGTATTTCGGACATAAATTGTTTTCTTACAGTAGTAAACGTGTCTTATAAGAATAATACAGCTGGTAATAACTGAAAGTAATGAAAAACATTTTCAATGGCTGTCGGAGAACGAGTATTAAGATGTGTGTGTGTGTGTATACACACACACGATGTACATTTTTTAATAGTAGATAAAACAAATTAAAATTTAATTCTGAATTAGCACAATTTAGAACTTATACAACATTGTTTTTATTTCCTACAGCTTTTTAGAGAAATAATGCCTAATATTTCTAAAAATTTGGTTCCGCTCTTAAAATAACTACAGAAAGTGAGCCTTCTTAATGACACAATAGATTTTAATTGTTTTTCGTCTGTAAGTAACATGAAATGCAGCCTGTTGTGGATTAACTCCAGTCAAATGATGGATGTGCCACTTTCAAGTAATTTAGTTATTGATTTTGAAATTGTGAATGGTTGATAAATGAGTAACATCTCTATAAAGGTGATGAAAAACAGATTTTACAAGTATTTAATTAATGCTTCTGACTTGATAAATGAAGTACGATGTGTATTATGTCAATACAAGCTGAAGAGAAAATGTTAAGGTAATGTGTATATGTAATATGTAGTTTGTTAGAAAGCATTTTTGTTTGCACTGTTTTAAAACCAATTATATTTCATAAGTATTTCATATTATAAAATAGCAAGTTAGTAACAGATATCCTAATTTGAAGTTTAAGTTTTATTTGTATCTGTTTCATTGTAGAAAATAAAACTTACTAGCTTTGTTTTTGGTGCTCTAAATATACACATGACATATTTATATGGTTTTCAGAATTGTGAACACAACACTGGGGGCAGGCAGTGTGAAAGATGTAATCGGGGTTTCTATGGAGATGCTAGAATTGGAACAGCAAATGATTGTCAACCATGTCCATGTCCTCTTATAACCCCACCAAATCAGTAGGTTTTTAGTTTCTTGATAATATTACTGTACTGAAGCATATTCAAGGCTGTTTTTTTTTCTCACTTCTTTCATTGTTAGTTTCATATGTTTTTGTTCTAGTAGAATTATCCAATTTTTCTCTATTCGTCCCAATAGTCCCTCAGTGGGACAGAAATAAGTTTACGGACTTACAACTCTAAAATCTGGAGTTTGGTTCCCCATGGTGGATGAAGCAGATAGTTCACAGGCATGGCCGGGTGGTTAGGGCACTCGACTCGCAATCTGAGGGTTGCGGGTTCGATTCCCCGTCCCACTAAACATGCTTGCCCTTTCAGCCGTGGGGGTGTTATAATGTGATGGTGCATTGGTAAAGAGTAGCCCAAGAGATGGCAGTAGGTGTTGATGACTAGCTGCCTTCCCTCAAGTCTTACACTGCTAAATTAGGGATGGCTAGTGCAGATAGCCCTCGTGTAGCTTTGCGAGAAATTAAAAACAAGCAAACTCAGAACAATTACCCGTATATGTTTTACTTTCAGAATAAAACATTCCTTAACATTAAACAATATTTATAATCTGTTTTTTGTATGTTATTTCAGTGATCTAAATAAAACAAAAACTTATTTAAAAAATTTATTAACATCGTATTATTTTTTTCATAAAATAATCCCAGAGTTTTATTAACATTAAAATGCAAATTACACATGCATAGTCAATTACGTGTGTTTATGTGGATGAATGTAAATTTAATTCTGCTAAAAGTTTGAGACAAATACTAAAGGTCTTGTCATATATTTCTTTCTGCAGACTTTTATAATGTCATATAAAGTTTGTTTGTGATGTAGGTGATGTATCAAATCAATAAACACTCTGTACTTTTTTTCATGAATAAAACATTTGTTCCTACTGCCACTAGGACTCTACCTACTTTACAGAAGGGAAAGTCTGTTTTTTACATATTGTTAGTACATCTTTAGGTGTTAATGTAAGCTAGCCCAATATTGTTTCTTTGTGAGGTACATCATGTAATGTTTAAAACTAACAAATAATAGACTTAACACCTTTTTTCATGTTCTGGATTTTGGGCATGTTTCTTTTTAACCTCAACATAGTCTGAGGAACAAATGACAGTCATAAGTATAAAACAACTAATTGTACATGAATTTATTGATAAGATATATTTTATCACCATATGTTTCTTGTTTTATTTATTCATTGTTTCGACAATGTATATTTTGAGTTCTTGGTCATACTTTTGTTGCTATGTGCTCTGTTTTGATGAAAAAGTGTAATGATGTTCACAAATTTTAACTATATGTAGGTATAAATTTATTTAACAAAGACAATTTCATTTTAATTTATTGAAAATTAAAATTGAAGGTTTGTGTAATTAATTTGCATATAGTCATTTTAAACATTTTATAGGAAATATTTCATGTAGATTATACATATTAACTGTATCATTATATTTTTTATCTTTACCAAATAAAAAAACATCTTTTGACAGTATTTCGGTACTGTCATTAGGAGTAATACTGCTGATTGTGCATAAAAACCATATTTTGTTTGTTTTTTCAACTTATGTAAATTCAACTTCCAATGTAATAAACATTGCATATCCTCTAGCAATGCAACTGTAGTCTTATGATATTCTGCAATTTTTTTCTGCTTGAACTTTGTCATTTATCTGTTTATTCTACAATATACTGTATACTGAGGTCATTATGATCATAATTTCTCATTCACTTTTCAGAAAAACAAACCATTAATTGCTTACATCATGTGGAAAAATATTAATAATTTTTAAATAGCTATACAGTTGTGTGTTCTAAAGCTCAAAAGTAGTTAATTTTTGTATGTATAAAAACGATTTAAAAATAAGTACTATAATATGAATTACTTTTGTCATTATAGCTTTTATATGCATACGTAACAAAAGATAATCATACATCTTTAACTCTTATTTTCTGTGGGATATTCTTTTAGCTCATTAAAAAAACACCAAATTGCAGTGGTATACCTTCAGAAAAAATAGAGCGAATTATATTAATGCATAAACAGAATTTATTAGCATAATACACACAATGTTATATGTAGTATGTGTACAATGGAGTAAGAATATAGATCTTCCTAATAAAAATATAGTGTTTTATAACTGTCATTGCCAAATAACAGAGGATATTTTTTCCTAAATATGAAAAAGTATACATAATATGGGTATTATGACCTAAAATATTTTTAAAAAATGTATACTAAAGTTATTTTACTATATTTTTTAAACAAAAATGCTTGTTCCTTTATATTACAAAAAAATCAGTTCATCTGATTTTAACATTTAGTAATATATCATGCCAAATATTTACCTTGTTAACTGCTTTTAATGTCTGAACTTTAGAATAACAAAGGTATTGTGAAATTTAACAGTTACTGTATCCTCTGGTCTTTTAATTTACTGACAAATCAACTCGTTAGTTATTGAAATATTCCAAAAGCTTTTTGTAACTTGCTAGAAGTGTGAAACAAAATAATTTGCCTTTCATCTAGTATACTTCAACTAATATCTGATTCTTTCTCTGAATTGTGCATCTAAAGTCTTTTCTATTTAATCATAGTCTTGCTAATGTGTGGATGGCAGGCTTTGCTCAGGAATGGTAAATATTGGTTTTCTACTCAAACGTCCACATGCATGTCAAATATAATATATTTAAAAATTCTTATTTTTTCTCTGATTTTTTTAAAATTTTCTTTTCAAAATATAATATTATTGTCTTCTGTTTAGTTTGCTGGATTTCTGTGGAATAGTTTAATGAAATTATACTTTTATATTCCTTTTATCTTTGAAGATTTCAGTGAAATTCTGAGTGTAAAAAAGTTGTTGTTTCTGAGAGAAATCCATTAAAATAAATTTCATATTGACTTTAAAAACCTGAAGTTAAATTCTTTACCTTATGTAAGTGCAATATAGCTTTTCTTTATATGATGTTCCATGAGATTTCAGTGAGCAATATTTAGTGTTTTTAACACTTCTGATTACATACGTTACTTATGGTATCAGTTCATATTGGATAAGGCCTCTTCTAATTTTGAAATTTCTATCAGCTCTCAACTTTACCAGTGGTCATTTTTTACTCAGAAGCTTTGTATATACAAATTGCCATATTAGGGCAAGAAGAAACTTGTTCCAAGAAAGCAAAGAAAGACCAACCAATGATAATATGAAACCAATATTAACCTAGAGAATATGTTAAGGAAGAATAACTTTTGAATCATATACAAATATCTAAACACCATTAAAGATGTCAGAAAAACACATTGGTTCAAGAAATCTTGATACAAAATGATAAAAACCCTATAACCCAAGTGCTTTTGAAAGGGGGACCTTTCTTCATTTGCCCCTGTAAACACAATTAAAGATGTTCTAACCTCAAATAGAACAATATCTGAAGATAAAAACAAGGTATTTATATTATATCATGCAAATCCCACTAGAAGGGCTTTTTTGGTGAGGCCAGAAGTGTTAACATGAGAGTTTCCAAACATTAAAAAAAATACATTAAGCATAGAAACACAGACAGTGCTATTTTTCTTCATAAGAAAGATTCTGGCCGTCAAATGGATTGGAAATTAATGAGAATTTTATACAAAGTGAATAACTTCATGAAAATAATTTTCAAAAGCTGCTTAATCAAAAGCATGCCTAATTTCAACACCTTCAAAGGTCACGTTCAGCTAAACAACTTCTTGTCCCTTGTAATAATAAGGAAATTCAAAATTCTGAAGTCACATAGGTGTTGTTCACCAATTTTTCCTGCCAGAAGACAACATGAGACTCAAGAGGACACACAACTGTGTCAAATTAGTTTCTCTAATATCAAGACCTTTGATAGGTTGTTCTATTTACTGTAGTTCTTCACTAACTTACTTTATGGCTCTTTGGAATCTAATAGAATAAACTTTGCTATGTGGGTAGTAAATCCTTTTATGATACATTATGGTTCTCTGGAATCTAATAGAATAAACTTTGCTATGTGGGTAGTAAATCCTTTTATGATACATTATGGTTCTCTGGAATCTAATAGAATAAACT